TAAATATGGTGCTTATGTTTTCTAAATACTGTCTATAGGGAATATGACAAATTATTTAGGAAGAATTATGAAATACATTTCTTCAAACAAAGAAAATAACCCACATTCCTTATATGACAGAAGTAGTATGAAGTTTCAGTTTTTTTCTACATATTTGTGTTTGTTGACATTTTGTGGCATTTAAATCGTGAAGGTTTATAATATTAGGACTGTATTATATTCATAGTACGCTGAACTGGAATGGACCCCTATTATGTTACCTTCATATTAAATTTACATAATATGTATCTACATTATTGGTATAAATAAAAAAATAATTCCAATACAATAATCTCACTTAAAACTTTAAATTATAGCTAATAATAATATTATATAAACAAAACAATTTACACTTAAATAAAACAAAAAATCTAAATTATTAATTAACATCTCTGTAAAGTTAGGAGATATTTACATACTTACAGCAAAGTTTTGAAAATTCTCACTGATTTCAACAGTTAAATTTAGATTTTTGCACAATTCCGTCGGAAGATGACCTTACTATAGAACGTAAAATATATATTTTTTTTTCTACATAATACCTTGGACTGTCACGTAAAAATGATGTAATTTCACAATTATTAATAAACGGGCATAATTTTTTCTTCTAAACATCTTTTCTCTCTCTTTTGTAGAGTTTTAACATTATTATAGCTAATAATTTATCATGTGACACAGAACCTTTTCACATTTACTAAGTATATATCAATCACCGGTCCTAAGATTAAAAAAAATTAAAATTAATACATTTAATTTTATTCATTGAAGTTGTTACTTTATTCATTACAGAATGAGTTCAATGACACCCAACGGTGATCACATTTTTTATATTATAATGATCTTGCACATTGCATATTTTAGCAATCAGATATTGGCAGTGTGAAATGTGCAAAACTGGGGCACAAAATCGATCATGGTGAACAGTAGACGTAAATTCAATTATTCTCAGTTCTAGTCAAATATATGGAATACGAAAAGTCGTAGTATCTCAAGGGCTAAGCGTCGCTGTTAATTTCGCAGTACCCGAGCCACCCGGGTTTAATTCCCACCGGCACAATTGAATTGTTGATTACAATTTTAAGTGTTAACTTACTACGTGCTTGGCAGCGCGGTGGACGTTTCTCGACGGTTAAATTCTCACCAAAATGAGAGGGTGTAACTTGCTTGCTTTAGTCAAATATAGTGAATTTTTAATGTTTTATGTGTCCTTTTCCTGGTAAGACATGCAGGGAGAGTCTATGGATGCATGTGGCTCAGGACTTAATTTCGTGACATTCCTTGTGGGAAGCCTATATTCAGTAGTGGACTTGTGAAGAGATGTAATGGAATGGTCATAATACATAACTATAAATTGCTATATACTAGAAAAACCAACAATTGATAAAGGTATGTTTAAATTTTGTACATTTTCACAGAGAATTGTGAAAATGAAGAAGTAACAATAGTATTTTATTTATTTCTCCATATTGGAAATACTGCAAATACAGAGTCATTTACATCTGGAATACTTCACAACAATGTCAAGACAAGGAAATTGAAAACTGTTTTGTATATCCTTTTCCCTTGACCTATGAAGTGATTTTATTTGGTGCTATCACTGCAATTTATAATTATTTTATACATTGTTTTATGGCCATTCTCACCGACACAGGCGCAAGGACCAACGGCTTTATGTGTTTCCAAGACACTGGAGTGAAACAGGGCCAATTTTTTTTTATAGGAGAGGGGGCAAACGAGCATGCGGCTCACCTGATGGTAAGTGACTACCGCCGCCCATGAATAACTGCAACACCAGGGAGGGAATTGCAGATGCGTTGCCGGCCTTTTAAAAAGGAGTACGCTCTTTTCTTGAAGGTCCCTAAGTCGTATCGGTCCGGAAAAATCGCTGATGGTAATCGATTCCACAAGGAAGTCGTGCGAGGAAGAAAACATCTTCTAAATCGCACAGTGGTGGACCGCCAATCATCCAGATGGTGTGAATGGTATCGGGAGTTCTGCCGCGATGTGCGTTCGTGAAATTTGGCGGCTGGGATTAATCCGAACAATTCCTCAGAGCACTCCCCATGGTAGATGCGAAAGAAAATGCAAAGGGATGCAACATCTCTTCGCAGTGCCAATGAATCGAGCCGATCGGAAAGGGCTCGGTCGTCGACGATTCGAGCCGCTCTGCGCTGGATGCGGTCAAGTGGAAGGAGCTGGCACTGGGGAGCCCCTGCTCAGAGATGGGAACAGTATTCCATGTGAGGCCGAACCTGCGCCTTGTAAAGTTGCAGGCGCTGTGCTGGCATGAAATACTGTCCCGCTCTGCTGAGCACGCCAAGCTTTTTAGAGGCCAATTTGACCTTCTCTTCCAAGTGACCACGAAACTGCACGTCACTCGATATGTCGACTCCGAGGATACCGATACTGGCTGAGGCAAGAAGGGGAGTGCCTTGAAACTGAGGAGATACGACAAAGGGGTTCTTTTTAGCGGTAAACGCGCAAACTTGTGTCTTCTGAGGATTAAACTGGACTAGATTTAGTCGCCCCCTATCCGAGACTTTTTCCAGCAAAGACTCGACTTCAGACACAATTTACTGACAATTTAATGACTCCGGGCCGTTTCTGAGAATTTCTTGACCGGAAAACCCAGCAACTGATTCATGACTCAACTCTGCACCACATGACAGCCACTAAACAAACGAGGCAGTCAAACTAATACATTAATCAATCAATCAATCAATCAATATATTCTTTATTTGTACACCAATACACATTAGAATGAGACAAAATGAAATAAATATATACAAAGTATAATAGGCGGTCCTATCCCTCCGGAAGCGATTTATTCCAGAGAACCCTTGTTTAGCAAAGAACTGTTGTTTACAGCGTATTGCAAATAGGGAAGGTGTACATAAATTTGACAAATAAGTTAAAAAAATATTAATATATAAATACATCACATAATCATTGGGGAAGACCTACTAAAGGAACAACTTTCTTAAAGTGTCAATTGAACTCATGCTACAATAGATCTACTAACTTTAAGATAGCCAATGCATTGATATTTGACAAAAACTTTGAGGTAAATCTATGAACATGCTTGTACCTTTGGTAAAATTTAGCAGTGTGGAGAAAGGAGAAATATAAAAATGAAAAATGTAAAACAGAATCTAGAATATTGGTGAAGCCTTAGGGAATTAAATCAGATAACTTGTCGAAACCCTATATATATATAGAAACAATTTCTATATATAAAAATTTATTGCTGTCCATTAGTTTTGCAAAATCTCGAAAATGTTTGGATCGATTTCGATGAAAAGTTTTTATGTGTTTGAGTAGGTCCCTGGATGGTTTATATTAACAATTGGATTTCTGGATCTCGACAACAGCGCCACCTACTGGGTCCAAAGAGATATTGATTTAGGACTTTAGATAATATAACATGCCAATTGGTTCTTAGTAACAACTAAGTAACAACTTTTCATAGTTACATTTTAAATATAGAGTAAGTCTCTATATTATAGCCTCAGCTCTAATCCATATTTGTATAATGTGTGGTGTCCTTTTGTCTCACATAATATTGCTTCTAATATTTTCAACATTATTCTGTAGGTTGCGAAAACTAACTGAGCTTGTTGAGAGAATTACGTATAATGGACTATGTTCATTCATTAATAATTACAGCTTATCAAAAGTCCACTGCTGAACACTGGCCTTCTATAAACATTGCTCTAGTTGCCACGCTTGGCAGGTGGGTTTGTTGTCAAGACGATGCTGCTGCCCATCTGTTTCATTTCTCTCAGTCGCTTCTTAATAGCTGACTTTGTTACCAAAAATATTTAGTGATTCTTGTAAACAAAACCATAAACAATTATAATGATATTGCTTTTGTTTTTCATGATCACAACAAAATTATAATTTTGCCATCACTACCTGCCATATTATATAAGCAATTAAACCATGCCTATTCAAAAATCATTTGTTTAATAGTGTGTTTAGTTGATGAAGTTGACAAGCTCAGTGTGTTTATGAAAATTCTTAGAATGCATAAGAAATAATATACAAAAACTACTACTTTTACACTACATTGATATGTATTGAATGTGTTAAGACTTTGTAAGAAAATTATTTTAATTCTATGGTTGCTATTTGGTTATATTATCCCACATTTCTTTACCAAGTTTAATAAAAAATGGTTACTATAAAAAACACTCGTCTGAAGGTACTACACGTAACTTCCTTCAATAAATAATAGAAATTTAAAGACATCTAAACCTGCAACTGCTTCAACTTTGTTGTAAAATATGCTTAGAACTTATTACATGAATGTATTCATCATCACTTTTTACATTTGCCTTACACTATTCACACTACTACTTTAATTACATGATCACAATAAAATTATGCATTCATACACATGCATTAATTAATTAATTTATTATTATTCAATTAATTTTTATAAAAAAAGGTGCACGCAATTAATCAGAAATAACTTTATATATATCAAGGAGTACTCAGTTAAAATGCAAAATTAATTTTGGTATAATATATACAATATAAAAATACATTAACAAAAGATTTCTCCGAAACGAACATTGAATAGTCAATATCGACTTTACATATCACGCATCTGCATGGAACTCAACAATATTTATAGAACTCAATACAAAACCTGTCTCAATATTGCAATCAAATCACAATGTTTTGAGATAAATCACTTTCATGTATTATAATTATAACAAAAAATTTACTGGTCATGGGAAGCTGCTTAGCTCCATGATTTTTTTTTAAAACCTTCTACATATTATATGTTTAATACTTGTTGGTTATTTTCATACCCAAACCATAATTGGATTATTCAGTTGTGTTCATATTACAAAATCTAAAAAAAATTTCATTCAAGTATACTTAAAAAAAGTTCATCCAAGTATATATAGACTAGGTAGGTAAAAATAGTTTGCCACATCACTCACAAAATATTAGGGCAGCTGGGGACGCTGTTTTCTTTGTCGCCTATATGACAATAACTGTGTTTCCACATGTTGCACGTCTTGGTGTTGTGTATCTTGCTGCTGTGACTCTTGCACCGACTTTTTTTCCGGTTTTTTCACCAAATGGGCATTGACAGGGTACTTGAGCACAGTTCTTAATTGGTCATTGTGCTCCTCAAGTGAATTAACAGCATAATGGAGTACAAGTTCGTTTAATGTTCTGTAATAAAATATAAAAAAAAGGTAAATTTCCATGTAATAATAGCACATAGGTGTGTAAGGAAAGTTCATTATTAAAGGAGAATGTTGGAAGCTAAGAAAACATATACATAGGGAAAACATTCTGAATCTGATACTGAACATTGGCATATGTCAAATATTACTGGCAGATCGGCATAGATATTAAATAAGTATTATTTATTGTTGTCTAATTTCATACAATAATTCAAACAAAACACTTAAGACTCTTTTTAGAAGATAAAATAGAAACAAAATATCTTTGTACGATAGGACAGACAATTCCGAAATCCTTGCCCTTGCAAGAATAAAACTTAGAAAGAAAAAGGAAAGAGATATGAATACGGAAAAAGAAGAGCAGAAGATCTATGAAGAGAGTACAAAAACAATAAATACTAAAGGGATAAACTGTTAACTCAATTCAAACCTATGCCTCTTAATAAAGAATCATGCAAAGGCATTATGTGAGCCATTTAATGAAAATAGAAGATTAATGGCAAATACTGACAGGGGGACAAGATCAGGTTATCATTTACTAAATCCTTAACATAAAATATTAATATTAAGGTTATTATTAATATTTTATGTTAAGGATTTAGTAAATGGTAATAGGATTAAATAACGTTACCATCCTTCTGGGATAATCAGGTAAAAACATGCCAATTTTGCAACAGAACTACATCTATCATTATATAAGAAGTGTGCTCGTTTTTATCCATATTATCCATGAGACACATATAAGTAAACCTTATAACAACAAAAAATTAAAAATGTACTTACTTATAAATGTTATAAGGTTCTGCAAATCCATATCCCCTTTCAGTCTTAAATATAATGCAATGATATACCATATTATTGCAACAAATTGATAATGCTAGTTGTCCAGTAGAGTTAGGCCTTATTAAGAAAGTGCCTTGTGGTTTCCCTTCAAGGAGCTTCTCTGCTGTATCTCTTGTACAATTTTCAACCATCCAACTTATTGACTCATTGTGCGCATACAACTTTTCAAGAATGTGAATGTTGTTGTTCTCTAAAGCTTGTATATATTCGTCAGTTTTACCTCTCCTCTGTAGCCATCTGAAAAATAAAATAATAAGATTTATTTGCAATAATGCAAATAATAACTATAATTAAAATTAGTGACATGATATTTGCGTAAGTTTTATAAGAAATTGTAATAAACTTATTTTGGTTAAATTCATAACAAAATGAGTACAAACTTGCATTGTTATATCTGCACATTTGAGTTTCTTAAAAGAAGTTAAGCAAGCAAATACCTATAGGGTCACCTTGTTGCATAAGTTATTTCAATGGAGATCTAATCTGATTTAATCTGATCTAAACTTTATTTTAAATACTTAAAAAATTAGTTCAGTCATTTACATTAATAAATTGTTTTCATTACAGTTACACTGTATAATAAATGTCTATGTTAGCTCATGTTACTATCACGACTAAATGAACTTTAGTGAAATATATACTTTTAAAGGTCCAAGAAGTTTGATTATTTTAACAGTAATAATAAATACTTTTATTTCTCAAAAATTAATTATACACGTTTTTGAGACGCCCCAGAGAGTAATTTCCATACTCGTATTGGGGAAAGCTATGTCCCACCTTACTTTTAGTAGAAACCAAACAATATCATTAAGAGACCTTTACAAATCATAATCATTAAGAGCCCTTTACAAATACACTGCTGAACATAGGCATCCATCAAGGAAAGTCACAAAACAGGAGCTTGAGCCACCTGCGTCCATTGGCTTCTTGCCTGTTTTATCAGGTTGTATACATATGTTGAAATTAGTCTGTTCATAATAGATTGCATAGTGAAAAGTAAAAAATAATAGCCTCTCTTATTATCATTATTTTGGTTTACTTAAATTAACCCTAGTATGGTAACAGAGGTGACCCGTTACCCCAGAGGTTCATAACAGTGTTAATATCTTTCTAATTATGAGCTTTCTCGCTCTCTCGCTTTACGTACGTTCTTTCATCGCGATGCGATGCTCAGTTGTCGCTACGCATTGGCAGCGAAAGGTTGTGGACACGGAAATACAGGTATGTCTGGGGTGACGCGTCCCCCGTTACCTTTTATGAGTGTATTTTTTCGAATGTCATTTCTTAATATTTTTCATTATTGTAGATAAAAATGGCGCGCCTTTCTGACAACGAGATTTCAGCGTTCTTGAATTATATTGCTGAGGAGATATCCGGTGCAGAGGAGATGCCTGATGCTGATTTTGAGCAAGAAAGTAGCTTTGAAAGTGATGATAATGTCTCAGTGCAATCTGAAGTGGATGACGAGATTTCCAATAACGACGTAAATGACATACCCTTAGCTCAGTTGGCGGGTAATGTATTGCGAGGTAAGTACAGATACATCTGGTCTTCGATACCACCTTCTTCCAGCAGAACGTCTCAGCGAAACATTGTAAACATTCAACCAAAATCATACAATATTGAGTCAGAAAAAGAAGCCTTTATGTTATTGTTTTCAAAGTCTCTAGAGCTAGTGATACTTTATACTAATCAGGAAATTGTATGATGTGCCTCTAATTATAAAAATCTGTGTTTTATCCACAAAACCGATGCAATGGAAATGGAGGTGCTGTTGGGTGTGCTATCTTTTTGTGCTGTGAACAAGCCCAATCGAAAAAGTGTAACTGATATGTGGTCTCCATTTAGTACACCTGTGTATAAGTCAATTATGTCAGTCAGAAAGCCGCTTTAGATTTTTACTTTTATGCCTGAGATTCGATGATAAAGACAGTCATGCCAAAAGTGACAAATTTGCACCAGTTTGTGAGATATGGAACATTTTTATAAAAACATGCACAGATTCCTACGAGCCACACAGTTACGTCACTGTAGACGAGCAACTGTTAGGTTTTCAAGACAAATGCCCCTTTTCAAGTTTATATTGCATCAAAACCTGATAAATATGGGTTAAAGATAGTCGCAATTTGTGACTCAAAAACATATTGCATATTTGATGCTATTCCATATATTGGTAAAGGTACGGAGGCAAAAACTGCAGCTGATTATGTCACAAAATTGGTAGAAAGTATCAAAGGATCGGGTCAAAATGTCACCTACGACAACTGGTTTACTTCTGTTCCTCTGACACATTACTAAAGGAATATGGACTCACTTCTGTTGGAACTATCCGTAAAAATAAGCGTGAGATACCTCCATCTTTCTTACCAAATAAGACAAAGTTACCTCTGACTTCTCAATTTGCATTCTATCAGGAAAAACTCTTGTGTCATTTACTCCGAAAGTTAACAAGTTTGTAATATTACTGACGACGATGCACAGGAACGAACTGGATTCTCAAACAAACAAACCTATCATAATCGAAGATTACAATAAAACAAAGGGAGGGGTCGACACGTTTGATAAAATGATGCATATCTACTCCACAGCAAGAGGTTCTCGACGCTGGCCTCTCTGTTTCTTTTATAGTATGTTAGACCAAGCTGACATCAATTCAATGATACTTTTTATAAAGGCCAAATGTCCTCGTGTACCTGCCAAACTATTCCGAAGTAAATTTTTGAAGATCTTGTGCTTACAATAAGCGGGACCCTACATGAAGCGGCGTTTAACAAGAAATTTACCTCGCGAATTATCTTCAAATATACGAGCTATTCTTAATATGCTAGAAGAGTCTACTTCCGGAGAACCACCTTGCAAATTATTGAAGCAAGCAAGATGCATATTATGTCCACGAAAATGTGACAAAAAAGTAAAAATAACATGTGTGAAATGCAACCAGCCGGTTTGCCCTAATCACAGGAATGAAATTTGTTTGAATTGTTTGTATTTTTATATATTTTTAATTTTTTAAAAACCTTTCTAACTCATTAAAAATATGTTTATTTTTTATTTAATGCTCAATAAAACAAATATATAAGGAAACTTTTGTTTTATTTACTTTAAAAACCGGTGGGGTGATAGATCACCCCTGTTACCATTTGTGTATGGTAAAATTGTGTTGCCATACTAAGGTATTAACTACCTCAATATCTATCTCTTTCTATTTTCATTAAATAGAAAGAGATAGATTAGAGATATTGGCATAATTTTAAGATGCCGTTAAGTCTTTTTTTTTATACAGGAGAGGGGGCAAACGAGCATGCGGCTCACCTGATGCTAAGACACTACCCCCGCCCATGAACAACTGCAACACCAGAGGAATTGCAGATGCGTAGCCGGCCTTTTAAAAAGGAGTAGGCCCTTTTCTTGAAGGTTCCTAAGTTGTATCGGTCCAGAAAAATAGCTCGTCGTAATCGATTCCACAAGGAAGTTAACTTCTAAATTGCACAGTGGTGGACTGCCAATCATCCAGATGGTATGGATGGTATCGCGAGTTTTGTCGCGATGTGCGATGGTGAAATTGAGCGGCTGGGGTTAATCCGAACAATTCCTCAGAGTACTCGCCATGGTAGATGCGAAAGAAAATGCAAAGGGATGCAACATTTCTTCGCAGTGCCAATGAATCGAGCCGATCGGAAAGGGCTCGGTCGTCGACAATTCGAGCCGCTCTGCGTTGGATGCGGTCAAGTGGAAGGAGCTGGCACTGGGGAGCCCCTGCCCAGAGATGGGAACAGTATTCCATGTGAGGCCGAACTTGCGCCTTGTAAAGTAGCAGGCGGTGTGCCGGCATGAAATACTGTCCCGCTCTGCTGAGCACGCCAAGCTTTTTAGAGACCAATTTGGCCTTCTCTTCCAAGTGACCACGAAACTACACGTCACTCGATATGTCGACACCGAGGATTTCGATACTGGCTGAGGCAACAAGGGAAGTGCCTTGAAACTGAGGAGATACGACAAAGGGGTTCTTTTTAGCGGTAAACGTGCAAACTTGTGTCTTCTGGGGATTGAACTGGACTAGATTTAGTCGCCCCCAGTTTGAGACTTTGTTCGACAAAGTATCGAATTCAAACACAAGTTTGTTCCGGTAATTGGCGACGTTTTCCTGAGAAATATTGGCACGGTTGGTGTACAAAGCATCACCAGTTCTGCCGTCTGCATAGCAATGAATGTTACCGGTTTGCAACATATAATTGATATGCAGAAGAAACAAAGTCTTGTTCTGTTGTGAAAAAATCTAGTAGACTGTAGACAAGCTAGGGAGGCCCTGCCTGCAATAAACAGTTGTTGAACCAAAGTTCTAATGAGACTGACCAACACTAACACCACAGATAAGGATAGTAACAAGTGCTATCACAGGGCACGTGACCTTTAACAAACATTTATTTACCATAGGTGTTACAGATAGTCCCCTGTGCAGGGCATGTATGGGGGAAAAAGAAACGGCGGCCCACGTGTTGCTGAAATGTCCAGAGGTCGCTACATACAGGGCTAAACATATCGGCACGCCGGGATCACTCCCCGAAGTTGCATGCAACATCAAAGGATTGTTGAAATTCTTCGGGAAGATCTCATGGCTTGAATAATTACACTATTCCTGCCCACACGCAAAATACGCGCTTAGATGTGGAGTTGCGGAAAACAGCCCGTCGTAAACTAAACTAAAATCTTGTTCCGTCTCTATCACTTTAAGTCACAGTGACACCACATGATATAACAACATCTTAAAATTGAATAGCATTTGAGTATTTGACCTGATTGTGTCTACAGTGACAGAATTTTTTTAAAGACAAGAGGTATCTACAAATTTCAAGTTCTTGATGGTTAAGAACTATGGATGAGTGGAGAGTATATATTTGTATTTCGCCTAGCATATCACATGATAAGGACAGGGTTTAGAGTTAAATATAACGGTGTTAATTAAAAATGAGTAATATAAAAATAAAATTAAAAAACCTTACACTTTATAGCGGTCCTTTAACTTATAAAGGTTTATTATTTCAGATTTTAATTTTGTTATTTCTCTTTCAAGTAATAAGTTAGATTCTACAGTCTCTCTTAGTAAATTGGTTAATTGAAGTCGAGCTTGTTTCAAATTATTCACTTGTGAAATTAATTGCTTATTATTTTCTATAAGGCCCTTTTTCTCATGTGGTTGAGCTTCTGCTTGCATCTTTTCTTGTAACTTTAAATGTTCTTCACAGACTTTAACAGTTTCTCTAAAAGCATCAAGGGACTGTCTTTTCATTTTTACTTTTTCTCTTAATTTCATGTATGTGTCGGATCTTTCATCGTAATCTCTTGTCTTCAGCACAAATTCCTTATGAATCTCTTTATACCTTGATTCAAGTGTTTCATCATTAATGTTTTCAGCACCATCATTTTCTTGAAGCCTTGACAGTGGGTACATAAGTTTAATATCAAGACTACTATTGCAATGCGCCAGAGAGTATTCCTTATAAAATTTAACAAGATCGACAACAGAGTTGAATTCGAATGGTTCACAAAATCCATACCGGCCATCATGATTGTATATTTTGATTAATTTATTGGTGCCACCTTTTCTAACTGTTAGAGTGTACCCACTGTCTTTATTTGATGCATTGCGGACTAGAAAAGTACCATCACAGGTATCTCTAAGCATTTCAGTTGCTTCATCTCTGAAATAAAATAATTGCAATTAAAAATACTGATAAAAAAGGATTTTTACTTTACAAGAATGATACATTACACTAACATAATCATGAATTATTAATTTACACAAGGTATAAGAATTTTAAAATATCAGGTTAATAGAAATCATATAGCATTAAAACTGTTTTTTGTGCAATAAAATGTAAGTATTTTAGTACAATAAAGCATTAAAATAATTCTTTATTTCACTAAAATGGAAGAAGAACCTAGAAAAAGGTGTAAGGAAAATCAATATAATAACTGCATGGCATCACAAAGACTAACAAAATTGCTATCAATCTGAAACAAAACTTAATAGAGAATTGAAACAAAATCAGTGTAGGTTAGTGAAGGAATATGCAAGAGATCAATGGGAGATTATCAACTTAAGAAGAAGAAGACAAAAAAATGTGAATGTATTGTATTACTTGCAATGTAATAGTTAATATTTATATTAATATATAATGCAATTATATCCTTGTTCTAGCATGGCGCAAATATTAACTTACAAAATATTTGAGATTTTTATAAAGACATTCCACCAAAAACAAATGTGAAAAGGATGGGACCAAATATTGTGTAAAGGATGTTTGGGTCGGGTTTGTCAGCTTTTTCAATAGGATTTGGGATATGTACAGATGCAAAGTTCTATAGTACCATAGGTTAAGGAATGTACAGTATTCTTCAATTGATATAAAAACAAAGTTTCATTTATTAATATTAAGTTCATAACCAGGCATATTTTAATAATGTTTAATGTGATGACATTCAATCTATATTACTCTACTACACTAATCTATCCAAACAACATGATCATTATCTAACCTAAGCACCCTAGTATTGGCAAGCACAGTGTAGGTCACTAGATAGAGTGAGGACCTGATGAAGCAAGCCATGTGAACATGCTGTGTGATAAAACATGATAATTGATGAATACATGTAGTTCAGGACTTTACTTTTTGGCAATCTATAGATAGGTCTGTACTATGTTGTGATGGGATTGTAATGTTTTGTAGGGAGTGAGTGAGTAGCACAATATAAACATTCAATATGAACTGTGTAGTGGAGCTGGTACAAGAAAATCCTTATCAAATAGGTCATGACTAATAGACGGCTTTGACTCAAAAAGTAGAACTTAAAAACTGAACAAAGAGTCAGATACAATAATTGATCAGGTCACCAAACAATTTATAATTCAAGCAGATGATATATTGGATGACGTTAGTTATTATGAACAAACCCCATGGAGGAAAAATATGGAGTATTTTTAAGTATTATTATCTACCTACTTTAATCTCAAAAATAATATTATTTTTAAATTTATATTATAATAATTTTTAATTTAATAAAAGTTTTTAAAAAAGTCTTGTATTATCATTTTAGCTAAAGGGAATTGAGGACCAAGTTAAAGTTGTAAGAGTTAAGAAGGATCATAATGCCACCAGAACCATTATTTTGCTAAACAAGGATGCTGGATAAATTAGAGATTCTGAACCCCTTTAGCCAGGTTTCTGTTACTGCAATGACAGAGGGATTACAAGTTTTGAAAAAATTTATTAGTCCTGATTCCTGGTTCTTGATGCTCTAACAATTACACCTAAAGAATATACAGGAGACTGAATTTTGTTAATTTTTTGGAAGAGAATGTCAAGTTGATTTCTTACGTTAAACAGTAGATGTAAGTTAAATTTGCCATCATATGCTAATGAGCTAGAACAGCAGAACCATTAGGAAAGAAAGAGAAAGAGATTCTTGTAATAATGTTGTGTGCTACCTTATTGTAGCGTAAAAGCAATTTAAAACAGGTCTAGTTGGGTAAATTCTGATTGCAGCCTTTGTATAGGATTGAGAAGAAGAAACAGGGGGATTATTTATTATCTCTGGATATGAAACATTCACTTGGGACATGACCCCTTTTAATTTCTTGTTGGCTTAAATGTTCAGAGCAACTTTTGTTGGATTAGCAAAGCAGAACATGTTCTCAGGGCATGTTGAGTTATCTGTAACACAGTCATCTCCAGAGTGTTGTTTTGATCATTTGAGGCAGCTTTGATTTGTAGCAAGCCTTTACATGCTCAAAGCATCAACACTTAAACACTATATAGAACAGAGTAGATAAGTTTCAACAAGAATTGATGTATAGAAGCAGTATAGGTAAGAAGGAAGCTCTTGACTGGAAAATGTAAGCCCAATAGTTAGTAGTAGAGTACCCACCAACTCAATATCATCACCTTTCTTTACTTTTTCATATAATCTCCTGACCTTTATAATTTCAACTCTATCAGGAAGAGTTCAGATTCAAGCATTGCTTTAAATTAGCCTACATAAATTAAATAACTAATAAAGATCTTAACTAACTTACTAACTACAAATATGGAAGTTTTATCAATAGGTCTAAGTTTTAAAAGTTCAAATTTGAACATATCTCAACTTTCAAAAAGCACCTACATACGTTTTTTTAATTAAAAATAAATTGTGTTCTTTATTATAATAATATTAAAGGCACCTAGAAAATATGTAAAAAAAATTAAGTTGCATTTAATTGTTTGATCAATTTTTAGAAAATAGAGATGAATTTTTAGAAAATGATAGAAGATGGAGACTTTTCGAATACAATTAATTTTAGTTGAACAAATTTAACATTTGCGAAATAAAAAGTAGATGTTTTACAAAAACTAGATTTAATAAAATGACATACCTTGTAATATCACCCCAGTACCATTCTGCATTCTCTAGGCTTTCCTCAGCTGATTGCTGATGCACTCCTATTTCTACCATTATTTCTTATATATTCAATTACTCAAAAGGAAAAATCAATTACAGCTTATTATGAGTGCAATTGATTTAAATTTTACTTTAAATAAAAATTGTTACAGAATACTTTATAGATTATTGTCGCTTCTTCTTCATTGAGGTTATGAAGTATAAAAACAACATTCAATTACTAAAACTGACTTATATACATTTCAAAACGCGAAACTTACACAATTCTAATCAAATATGTAATTTGATAGTTAATTATAGCAGTAGTATAAGTAATTGACATTGAAATTTAGGATAAGAGATCACAAAGGAAACGAGCTAGAGACCGCTGTTTCTATGGCTGACAAGCACAAAAGTAGTTCACACTTGAAAATGGAAACATTTTTAGGCCTATATTTATATCATAATTTTAGCTAACATAGCATTCGAACACTAAAGAGCTTCACTTCACATTTACTGTATCATAAAACTATAAATTTCTAATTCTATCCATTATTCAATTATATTTCATAAATCCTGAAACACAGAACCAGAACAGACAGAACAGTATCGATATCGATGTCGAGATGTCGAGTATGTCACAGATTAATAAATGTCAAATATATATGTATAGTGCCACCAACTTATCTGTTCAGTTGACAGCGTCGCTAGTGGAGTGGTTACTATTGCCATTTAAGAAATTCACCGAGGAATGAGGTAACTACATATTCATTACACATAATATAAAATAAAACAAATTTCGTGTTAATATATTAAAATTAGTGAGAAGTAGTGTTATTATTTATATTTTATAAAAATAATTGTGGTCGTGATCTCGGAGTTCAAGCGGCCGAATTCCAAGACTTTCTGTTTTGAAAAATGTACCCGCGTAGCTAACGCGACTCAATAATTCCAATAATTCATCTTCTGAGTCACTAGAATCGCTTTCACCATTGCTGACACTCTATAATAAAGGGTTCATTTAAATACGCGTCTTTTAGTCTGTATTCATTTTCAATTTTTTTTACATGATTACCAATGTTTTCCACTGCACCGGTGTAATTTTATGAAATTAATCTTCAATTAATTGGGGCATTAGAACATTAGAAACACTAACTACAAAGCTAGGTACTTAGATGAATTGCAGTAAATTGAGATATTTTTTTTACTATGTTTCACAAGTACATTATTTGGTGATTTTAATTTTCCATATCTGGCAATACTAACCTATCGCGACAGCAACGCGTTCATACAGCTTTTTAAATTGTATAGTTGGGACTTGTACACGTTTCTCTCGTTTTAAGACCTTTAGGCATTTTATTTACACCTTTTAAAAATACTCACCTGATAGCACAGAATAAATAATAACTGACAGCAAAATGTCATTTACAAAATGGCGGCTTTAGTTCCAATTTTGTCCACCTGAACAGATAAGTTGGTGGCACTATAGCAAGCCAAAGAGTATATAACCTTAACTTAACTTTACTTTGGTTAAAAACCTGCCAAATCCTGCCAGTGTGTAGTGAAAATGCCTAATTACTGGCAACTTTATTTACCATTGTATTAAACTAAGAAAAGTAAAATACAAATTTAAATGTTATATTTTTATTAAATTCAATGAAACATATCTTTCTTTAGTTAAAATGCAATGCAATCGCCACGCTCACCAATTCCTTGTTTAACGTGCAAGATAGACGCTACATGTTTGTTTATAAATCAGTTTCGCGTTTTTGTCTTAATTAAATCTATTTGAGATAATATTTTTTCTCATGCTGAATCCATTCATATTTTTCTGATGTTTACCAGTAGCGGCATGCTATGGCATCGTTTAAAGCCTATTTTTAATACCCAATATTTAACAGTGGTAGAGCCACGCGGCAGCTTTTGCTGTCGCACGGATGGGCCGGCTCGAACCGGGGTGGTACCACGACCTCACAGAAAACCAGCGTGAAGTAGAGGTTTACCTCTGCGTTTCGCTTGGTGAGTGCAGGTGGCTGGAGGCCCTTTTTACTGGAAATGAGGCATTCCATCTTAGTCCTCACGGGTGACAACGCATCTACATTTTGATTTGTATTAGAGGATAGATGTAGATGTCTATGGGCCGCAGTAACCACTTACCATCAGGTGGACTGTGTGCTCGTTTGTCACCCTTATCGTATAAAAAAATACCCCAATACTGCCAGGTTTTATAAAACATCAACGGATCATGCCAGATGCTAAAATGGTAGGAACCTACCACATATGGCCACACTGATTATAGCAAGTCATTGTGATACCTAAGGCTAGCCACACATGGATTTCTTATTTCTTATCTGCCGACTTCCAAAAAGGAGACGGTACTTAATTCGACGCGTATGTTTTTTTTTTATGTGTGTTACCTCATAACTTTTTACTAGGTGGACCGATTTCGATGATTCTTTTTTTATATGAAAGCTGATACTTCTCGTGTGGTCTCTTATGAATTTGATCAAGGTCAGACCAATAGTTTTTGAGTTATTCTTAATAACTTATATTGAAGTCGGCTGTACAAAATTTTTAATTTTAAATTATTTTATTTTTATTTTTAATTAGTAGTTCATCGTTTATTCATTATTATTCGAACATAAAAAGTTTGTTCGTCTTTTAATTATATTTCATTCATTCATTCATTACGGCCCTCCACAAGTCCGCTGCTGAATAAAGGCCTTCCCTCTCCCTCAATGAATGCCACAAAGCACGGTCCTGTGCCACCTGCATTCATCGGCTTTCTGCCGGTATCTGCGACCGATGATTGTGAGTCATCGAGTTAGAGCAACTTACCGCTGTTGGAGCTATCTCGCAGATTGTGCACTAGTTCGCCAGCTCAAACAAGTTTTTCTGACGAGAGTGATGACGACCAATCGATACCCGTGCAAAATCAAAACTACTGCTACGGGAAAAATCGGTACAAGTGGTCACGATTACCTCCAGCCCGAAATATTCGTACTGCAGTATATAATGTGGTTCAAATTCCTAGAGTAAGGCCTACAGCTGAAGGACCTCTTCCTTGTCTTACCAGGTCGTCACTCCATTTAGTAGGGGGCCACACTACACTTCGCCTACCTGTACGAGGCTACAACTCGAGAACCTTTTTCCCCATCGGTTGTCGGTTCTTCGAGCTATATGGCCGGCCTTAGTAAAGAAACCGACATTGTGCAAATATTTTTATCCTAATGGCGATGTTTCGGTACAAAGATAAAAGTCAAATCAATATCTCTTTATCAATAATCAGCTTAAAAATAAACTGAAAAATATGACTCTTCCTGACTTCTATTGACGAGTAATAATACTATTATTTTTTTAATTGAAATATAGTTTCTAAAAACACGCATTCAAAAAAAACCTAGTAAAGCTCGGTTCATCCAGGTAAATCTTACTTATTAAAAAAAAACCAAAATACATTTATAATAATTAATTTAAAAACCAGTGACATACACTGTTTTTTAAAATTCAACACACGATTGTAGTGAAACTTTTGTATTACAGGGAAATAATTCAATTATTCAACAATAACTTGAATAACATAGATTGTGTATTTGTCCCATCCATTCATAACAATCCATGATTTCAAAACTTACCAATTAGTATTATTTTTTTGAATTTATGCCATTTAGCATCTATTCTACGTACGACCTTGAGAGTCAATAACGTTTTTTTTTCGATAAAATGACTTTACCTATAGAATGTTACTACATTCTATTGAAGATGCTCTATTACTCAAATGGGATTACTCTTTATCAAAATTAATTATAAATGAACTAATAGCAATAAACATGGAGAAATTGCAGATTCTACTGAAACATTTAAGGAGCAATTAATTGGCATACAATTTAATTTAAAAAATTAGATATGTTATGATTTATAGCAAAATTAAATTTTCGATAATTAAATTTATTTAAAAATTAATTATAATTTAACTAATAGCAATAGAGGTGGCGCAATTTCGGATTCTACTGGAGCATTTAAGGAACAATTAATTGGCATACAGTTTAGTTTTAAAAAGTAGATGTTTTATGTTTTATAGCAAAATTAAATTTTCGATAAAAAAATTATTATTCAATTAAATAGCAATAGAGGTGGAGCAATTTCAAATTCTACTGGAGCATTTAATGAGCAATTAATTGGCATACAGTTTCATTAAAAAAATAATGTGCTACGCTAACTTCCTTCTGGTCTTTTAACACAACTAAATAAAAAAGTTAATAAGATCGTATTGTTAAGAGCTTGGGATTCGAGACAATTAAAAACTGCTGATTGAATTACCAAAATTGACACTTTAATTACAAAACACTAATTACAACTTAAAACTACACTAATAATAAAACACAATTATACTAATGATCACTTTGGTTCGCAGTTATTTCCCTTCGAAGTATTCGCTTATATCGCCAATTCAATACTGACTTGGTCGTGGTCTATACCGGCCTTATATAGGGCCTCAGTTTCCATAACCTTTTACTGTAGAAACATCTAGAATGTTCGAGTACATATCGGTCCCGAAATTTCTAGAAGGATCTTGACTCTCCTAGTTCTGCTACTCGATATTAGAGGGCGCTAGTGGTAGCTAGTGTTGCTATGTACAAGACATTAATAGTGGCGCGCAACAGTATTTATGTAACCAAGATCGTACTGGCTGATTTATTTGACAAATGTAATTTTAATCGTAATATTGTGTTGTTTGATTACAGCCATACAGTAATCTATGGTTGTTTGACGGGTGATGTCTTTAATATTTTACAATTTTTTTTTCTAAAAAAAATATTTTACTAAAAATATTATTCAAAGACATTTAAGTAGTAGTAGTAATAGATCGGACATCAGCAGCAAAATTGTCGTCTGTAACTTTTGTCCTATAGAATAAATCTCCGATTTTTGTCAATTAGTCTTAGTGACATCGTCAAAAAGTCAAGACGCATTAGTTTCATATATTTAAAAAATATTTTTAAAGAAAATATGCCCGGTTGTGCATTAAGATATTGTAAGTCACGATATCGAGCAAAAAATGAACATGATTTCGG